TGACATTTAATGAAGAGGAAACAGAGAGGGTTAGAATCATAGTTTTCTTACACAGCATTCTCACATAAAAAGTATCATAATTTCCTTTAAAGCAAAATTAAATTATTTGTCTTTGACCAGTCTTTATTTAAATGTTTAACCTGCACCATTGCCAACATATGTGGGACAAGAATTTAGAGAACAAAATAAAGGCAAAGAAAGTGGGAAAAGGCAGAGGTGATATAGAAAAATTCTGACAACAGTGAGAACCGGCTGCAGCCAAAAGACAAGGCACACTCCCTTCTCTAAAGGAACTTAAATGTCATCTCTCTTTGGGAACAATAATAAGGAGGCCAAGATATAACAACTTGCAAAATACTAGCTTGTACAACACAGGAAGTAAGAAGAAAGAGACACCGTGAACTAGGCTAATAGTGAGAGGTCTTAGGAAGGAGATGGCATTCAAGCCAGAATCTGGAGTTGAGGTAGAATAATTTGAGTAAGTACCCAAGGGCTCTTGAGCATCTCAAGCCAAACACAACAAACAAAGGCCTTAAAATGGAACAAAGCACAGCATCTTGGTCAAGGCTAAGAAGAAAGGCCTGCTTAAAGGATTAAGTAATTAAAGGATTTTTTTTTAAGGGAAATACTAACACACATATTTTTCACTGGGTCATGATTACTGTTATTCATATCTTAATATTTTATATTATTATTATCTGTATTTTATAGGTAGTAAACTGGGACACAGAAAGACTGAGTGTCTTGCCCAGGGCCACAGAACTACTTTATGCGGAGAACGCAGCACTCCTTCCGCTCCCCCACCCTGACTCACCATAGGGAGCGTGAGGTTGGGCAGACACAGGAGGACAAGGCTATGGAAAAGACTTAATCCATCCACAAGAGGCCTGAGTATGTTGATGCAGTGATGACAATACTGTTTCAAGAACATGAATTCTGCCACAGTGAACAGAACAGATCTTAATTGACACAGTGCTGAGCCAAGAAAACCACTTCAGAAGCTGGTGAAGTAATCCACGAGAGATGTGGTGAAAGCCGGATTAGGGCAGTTGCAGTGAGACTAGATAGAAAGAAACAAAACCTCAGCTCTGACAACGAAAAGGTGACAAAATTAGTGCCTTGGTGGACATAGGAGATAAAGAAAAGAACAAAGTTAGAAATGAAAGCAAGTAGCACTCAGAGAAAAGCAGAAGGCATGGTTCATCACAAAGTCACCAGAGTGAACACCTTTTCCATACCCTAACTTTCCTCCCCAGCCATCTTCTCCTCCTCACTAGCCATTCTCTGACTTCTAACCCTCTCTTTTCATCCTTTCCTATTTTCAAGGCTTACTGTGGGTTGGGCAGTGGGGTAGGCTATAGAATTATAGGAGTCAAGTGAGTTGATAAATATAAAGCATTTAGAACCATGGCTGGTATACATAGAAAGAGCACTTAGTGTTTTCTGCTGCAGGTGCTCAATAAACCTGCTGGAGGATGAGTAAACTAATACATGCGGATGATCTGCTCCAGCCACACTGATCATTTAGTGTCCCCACCTGCTTGGCATTTTCACAGTCCCCACTTCCCAAAACAGTCCTCTCTCTGCTGTTGCACACATGGAAAAGTTCTACCCATCCTTCACCCAACTCAGCTTAAATTTCACCTGCACCATGGAACGTTGTCAGGTGGTACCATTTCAACATGACCCCTTGCTCATAAGAGTCCTACACTGCCAGTTCAGTGTCATAAAAACTATCATATCTGTAGCTATATTGCCTGATTCAAAACCAGGCTCTGTGCAATGTTAGATAAATAATAAACAAACAAGCAAGCAAACAAAACAAAACCAGGCTCTAGCATAAACTAGCTGCAGTACTCTGGGTAAATTCCTAAAACCTTCTAAGGCTTAGTTTTTCAGCTGTAAAATGAGGTGATAATATCTTGTCTTAGAGAACTCAGGGAAGATTAAAGAAAAGTAAACCATCCAGAACATAGTATATGGTCAGGAAATGTTACCTGCTTTTTTCCACACTCGCAGCCTGCAATCATTTATCATTCACACAGCACTTAAGCTGACATGTATATGTATGCCATGTCTCCTCAGCTAGACTGTAAAGACTGGTTAGAACCTTAAAGACAAGAGCTGAATCTTATTCATCTTTCCATCTTTTAAACATCTACTAATGTGCTTTACATAGAGACATAATACAAATTAAGAACAATGAAATGACAGCTACAGTGAACCACAGCAATCAAGTGTAAATGGTGCCAAGATGAGAATCATAAATGCTCATCCAATTTAGCTGTAGAATTACTACACGGCACCTCTGTCATCTCACTCATTTCAAAGGCTGATTTCAACAAATGACACTGCAAAAAAAGACAACCTAATTTCTAGAGTATACAAGTTAATAGGCAATCTTTGGTAATAACATTACAGAGAGCTTCATATAAATGTTACAGTGCTATAACCCTCCATTACCTTAAAGTGTTCCCCTGTACTTTTATGCAAAGATTTCCTTTCTCATATTCTTTGACTTAATATGACTGTAACAGAGATCTCTTCATACCACTTGTAAACTAACTGAAAGCAGACTGAGATTTTATAATTTCCTATTGGGGAGCGGGAACGGCTAATACTAAAGCAAAATTTGTAAGAACAAGATCCAAAATGTGTGATAATTACAGGTGAAATCAATCAAAATCTGTCTTTCGTTAAAACTTTTCTTTCCAAAGAGCTTTCACTAATACCAAGGCTTCCACATCCTCTCTGAAGTCACTGAAATCTTTTTTTCACCCTGATGTATTTATTATAGCCTTCTTTAACTGTCTGTTATCTTCATCAAGAATCAATTCCCATGGTTGGGTTACTTCTTTTCTTTTAACTACTGCCCCACTTACATGTGCTAACAAGTTGGAAGAGCTGCAATTTGCTGGGTAGTAACCTCCACTCTAACAATCAACATTTGATTAATGCTCCCAACCACATTCCCCTTCCCTGCAGAAAATACTTCAGTAGTTTTCATAAACTAAAATGCACAGCTATAAATTTAATTTGAAAAAGAAATTACTAATGGAACAGGGTGTGCCAAATCCCTATCCTTTCCATATTTTCATGTTTCTCGTTTCTTTTCATTTAGTTTTTCCCATTTGTAGAAGTATGTGGTAAGAATCAGAGGCATTCAGTTCTATCAGGCTAGATTTACCAGAGCAGAGAACACGTATGCATTGCAGCAGAGTAGGAACGAGTCAAGGAGTTAAGAGCAAGCTTCTAACTGCAGTTCAACAACCTATTATATAACTCTAGGAAGAAACCATAACCATTCTCCACTTCAACTTCCTCTTCTATAAATTAGAGATAATAACCACCATTCCTATTTTAACAGCCTATTCTAGAAATTTTAAAATCATAGTATCACAAATAGCACTACATAATCGTAAAGCATGTGTGACTATATGTGTGTGTATATATTTCTGAACAATAGCAATGTCATAGCCTATGTGTAGATATAAAATAATTTTATATCATGTATTAAAGTACCAATTAAATACTTCACTAGACAAACTGTCATGCCAAATTCTGAGCTCAATATATCCAAGAAAATATCTGGGGAATTTTTGCTGACAAATGAAACCTAGCTTGAGAACACATGTGCACTGTCTAATTCGCATTTTTTTTTTTTTTTTGAGTTGGAGTCTCACTCTGTCACCCAGACTGGAGTGCAGTGGCCACTCCCGGCCACTGCAGCCTCGACCTGCAAGGCTCCAGTGACCCTTCCGCCTCAGTCTTCCAAGTAGCTGGAACTACAGGCGCGCGCTACCACGCCCGGCTAATTTTTAACTTATTGTAGAGATGACGTCTCGTCAAGTTGTCCAGGCGGGTCTCAAACCCGTGGGCTCAGGCAATCCACTCACCTCAGCCTCCCAAAGCACTGGGATTACACTCAGCCTCCCAAAGCACTGGGATTACTGGGAATCCACTTAGCCTCCCAAAGCACTGGGATTACAGGCTGAGTCACCGAGCCCGGCTAGTTCATAATTTTTAAAGAAAGTATCATTCTCTAATATAGTCTAAATTTTTGCAAGCAAACTTTTACTCACAATCTTAATACATCCAAATTCTCCCTTTTTACTCAGTCAGAGTTTAGTGCAAAGTAGTGGAGGTTAGTTCCTCAGATCTTGTGCTAAGAATTTCTACATTACAGTCTTCACATAAACCTTGACCATTATAAGTTTAAAAGGGCAAATAATCCAGGATAACTTCATGATTTCAGACTTTCTAATATTAAAAATAATGCCATCATTAAATCAGACGATTCCTCAATCATTACTCACTCCCAATTTCCTAGGCAAAATATCAACATACTCTCATTCTCCAATTTAAGAGTCTCTACAAACATACACATATGCAGTCTTCTAAACTGCACTTTTATGACTTTTACTTTTTATATGTGGCAACTTTTGAATACTAATTAAACTTTTAAGCATATGTACTTTATCTTCTTTTCAATTGCATAGTTTTCTATAACATCCTCATTATAGTATTATTTGGTTAGACTTTATATCTGCTACTACTGCAATGAATCAAAACTGTCTAAAGCATGAATTCAAAAATTTTTATTTTAACTATAATTTTGTAGCTAAATTTCTTTTTTTAGACTTTGCAAACAGTCTGTGCATCCTGAATTAGTGCTGAGAAAAAAATATTTTAACAGTTGCTCGATGTTCTTCAAAAGGTGAAAAACTTAATAAAACATATGCACCTCTCAACTCCACCCATTTTCAATTTCAACATCTCAAACCTCCTATTTTTTCTTAGTGCAAATTCAGAACTGTACATATTAGGATTGGTTATTACTGAAGATAATTTATGCAATCATAAGCCAAACATGCTAAGTTGACAAAAAGAAAACCATGCAAGTAAGCAAACCCTAACACACGTGGGACACGCCCTCTCAGTATAAAAAGGCTTGTCACTGTCCGTGGTAGCAGGCACTCCCTGGGCTAAACAACATCACCATGTCTGTTCGATACAGCTCCAGTAAGCAGTACTCTTCCTCCCGCAGTGGAGGAGGAGGAGGAGGAGGATCATCCCACAGAATCTCGAGCAGCAAAGGCTCCCTTGGTGGAGGATTTAGCTCAGGGGGCTTCAGTGGCGGCTCCTTCAGCCGTGGGAGCTCTGGTGGGGGCTGCTTTGGGAGCTCATCAGGTGGCTATGGAGGATTGGGAGGAGGCCTTGGTGGAGGTAACTTTGGTGGAGGGTTTGGAAGCAGCAGCTTTGGTGGGGGCTATGGAGGAGGCATGGTAGGAGGAGGCAACTTTGGAATTGTCGGCTCTGGTGGGGGTGGCTTTGGTGGAGGCGGCTACGGAGGAGGCTATGGAGGAGGCTATGGAGGAGGCTACGGTGGTGGTTTTGGTGGTGGTTTTGGAGGAGACGGTGGCCTTCTCTCTGGAAATGAAAAAGTAACCATGCAGAATCTGAATGACCGCCTGGCTAGCTACTTGGACAAAGTTCGGGCTCTGGAAGAATCAAACTATGAGCTGGAAGGTAAAATCAAGGAATGGTATGAAAAGCATGGCAACTCACGCCAGCAAAAGCCCCGTGACTACAGCAAATACTACCAAATCATCGACGACCTTAAAAATAAGGTAAGGGGCACTGTTAACTTTAAACCTACTTCTGGGCATGTAATCCAGATAGATGAATATTAAATTAAGCACAATGTAGCTGTTCGCTATGTTTACTATGCTACTGTCTTGCTTCCAGAAATAATCCAGTCTCATCAAAGGAAAATATTTATGAAAGTATGGCCATGGCAATCTTCATCCAGCATGTGTGTTGTCTTATAGGATAGCAGGTTACTGAGAACTTTTTTAGGTTTTAATGAACATATAATGGGTCCCTAGTGAAAACACACTAGATCATTTAAAAATGTAGAAATGGAAAAATCATTAAATGAATCAGAACAAACCATTATTTGACTGATAACAAATAAGCCATATTCAGTACCAACATTGCAGGAAACATGAATTCTCCAGTATGAAAATAGGATACTGCTTGCCTCAAAGGAATTTGTGAATTTCACCTATTGTGTACCAGTTCAGAGTATATTTATTTAGAAGTATTTACAACAAGTTAAACAAATACAGATGTGATTCAGTCAAAGGTTAGCTGAAATACATGTACATCACACAGCATAAAAGAGGAGGGCACACTTGCAGGACAACATCCATATATCTGAAGTTAGTTTTGAGAAAGGGATAGCAAAGAAATAGAAGGGTAGGAAAACCTCAAGAGAACAAATGATTCAAATTTAAGTATGTGAGTAAGCCTGCAATATTTCATACTTAAAATAAAAAATTCCCCCAAGATTCTGTAAGAGAAACATAAAAACATAGTTCATCTATGCCACTAGAAAAGCCATACCTGCATCTAATCTCTCTCTCTCTCTCTCTTTTTTTCTTCAAGTCAGAGTCTCAATCTGTCGCCCAGGTTGGAGTGCAGTGGCATGCTCACGGTTCCTGCAGCTTCAAACTAATCTCTGTTTAAATAACTGTGCCTCTCCCTCCAGATCCTCAACCTAACAACTGACAATGCCAATGTCCTGCTTCAGATCGACAATGCCAGGCTGGCAGCTGATGACTTCAGGCTTAAGTAAGCTAAGTAAATGGGGTACAGTACTAGTACAACAATACATCTGCTGTTGACAATGACTTTGGATGCCTACATTAGCATTTACCTTTTCCTGAATTCATCCAAAGTTAAATAGTATTGGGTTTGTCTGATAAACTTTCCATTCCAATATTACCTTTCTGGTTATATTAAAGGAAGAAAACACAAGTTCAAGGAACTGCTAAGCTTCTTTGTATTAAACCACTAAGTGAATTCGTGTATCACATATGCTACCATGATAGGAAATCAACTATACATTTGCTTTTGAAGTGTCTCTGCTACAGGGTACATCCCCTTATATAAGTTACATCCAGTATTTGTATCGTGCCTGTTTCAGGTATGAGAATGAGGTAGCCCTGCGCCAGAGTGTGGAGGCCGACATCAACGGCCTGCGTAGGGTGCTGGATGAGCTGACTCTAACCAAGGCTGACCTGGAGATGCAGATTGAGAGCTTGACTGAAGAGTTGGCCTACCTGAAGAAGAACCACGATGAGGTGACACAAAAGTTATACTTTCCCCAGCCAAAAAGAGTTCATCGTCGTCACGAGGGAGTCATTCAATCTTTCTTTTCTTCAAACAGGAAATGAAAGACCTTCAAAATGTGTCCACTGGTGACGTGAATGTGGAAATGAATGCTGCCCCAGGTGTTGACCTGACTCAACTTCTGAATAACATGAGAAGCCAATATGAACAACTTGCTGAACAAAACCGCAAAGATGCAGAAGCCTGGTTCAATGAAAAGGTAAGTAAATCTTCCTACACGGTGAAGCACACAGAGGTTTTGTTATCATTTCAGAATTTTCTCATCTTTTTTCCCTGTTTTCAATACTCTAGAGCAAGGAACTGACTACAGAAATCGACAGTAATATTGAACAAATGTCCAGCCATAAATCTGAGATTACTGAATTGAGACGTACTGTTCAAAGTCTGGAGATTGAACTACAGTCCCAACTGGCCCTGGTATGTTGACTTCCATGACATGACTTCAACTTTATCATACAAAATGTCATGCTCACGTTAAGAATAGACAATGCAACAGAAAAATGAAGAGTTGAGAGTAAGAAAGAAATAGAAACTGAGGCTCTAGGTTAATGGAGAAAAAAGTGCTCTCAGCATTGATCTAAAAGTGCTGAAAAGGAAATGACGCCATTAAACAAAACCTAAATTGTGTTCATTTTCTTATTCTTCTGTATGATGTCTTATCAAATAATTAAATAAGCTTCACTCTACTCGACTGAACGATGACGTCGCTAAGTCACAAAAATATCTTTTCAGAAACAATCCCTCGAAGCCTCCTTGGCAGAAACAGAAGGTCGCTACTGTGTGCAGCTCTCACAGATTCAGGCACAGATCGCCACTCTGGAGGAACAGCTGCAACAGATTCGAGCTGAAACCGAGTGTCAGAACACCGAATACCAGCAACTCCTGGACATCAAGACCCGACTGGAGAATGAAATTCAAACCTACCGCAGCCTGCTAGAAGGAGAGGGAAGGTAAATTTAAAATAGAAGAATTATCCCAGCTGCCTGTATTCAACATTCCGGAGATCAAGGCTTAACCTTGAAAATGCCAGAGAGTGGGAGAAAGGGGAAGAAGGGAGGGGACATAGGACAGGAAGAGGAACATGCAATCGCGTCTCACTTCCTCAAGAATTTGGCAAAACAATGATTCTTAGGGTTGCATGTATAAAAAACTGTTTTCAAAAGCTGCATTTTAAAATACCTACTTGGCAGGGTTGTATTTTCTCAAAACATGATGTGCTTATTTTCTAAAGTAGCAATAATCTGGAAAACGATCCACCGTTTTCCAACGTGAGAAATAACCAAACATGAACCTCACCTGGTTTAGCTCCGGAGGCGGATCCTACGGCGGTGGTCGCGGCGGCGGAAGTTCCGGCGGCGGCTACAGTGGAAGTTCCGGCGGCGGCTACGGTGGAAGTTCCGGCGGCGGCGGCGGCGGCGGAAGTTCTAGCGGCGGCGGAAGTTCTGGCGGCGGCGGAAGTTCTGGCGGCGGCGGAAGTTCTGGCGGCGGAGGCCCCTACGGCGGAGGAAATTTCGGTGGCGGCGGCGGCCCCCACGGCGGAGGAAATTTCGGTGGCGGCGGCAGCTACGGCGGAGGCCACAAGTCCTCCTCTTCCGGGTCTGTCGGAGAGTCCTCGTCTAAGGGACCAAGGTCAGCAGAAACTAGCTGGGGTAATCAGAATTAGTTTTGACTTTCTGTGATGGTTTGTTGCCTTTGAAGCTCTAGAGATGTTTAAAAAAATTAAAATCTTGGAGACGGACCCTATGTGCATTTGTTAACAAGCTGCACTCCGGACACCCGTCTCGAAGGACCGATGGCGTGATCCAGACGTCATACCTTCACCATGGCTCGGATGTCTGTTTAACGATGTAAAAAAATTGAATGTGCTTCCTCGTATTTGCTTAGTAAGGACCCATACCGATTGCTCAGACTAAATTATAACTTCTTGTCATTCTTCGCACAGATACTAACAAAACCAGAGTAATCAAGACCATTATTGAAGAGGTGGCACCTGACGGTAGAGTCCTTTCATCTATGGTTGAATCAGAAACCGAGAAACACTACTATTAAGCGGCATCGGGAGGTGCGAGTCTCCCTTCACACCGGCCCTTGTGTACAGATCCGTGGAAAACAACCTCTAGGAAAGCGCTTTGTCCTCGTGCTCTGTGGAAGCAGGTTCACTCCTTGAAAACAAGGTGTCTGCCAGGTGTTCTGTGGTTTCTGTGTTTCTTTTCACTTTACCAGAAAGTGTTCTTTAATGGGGAAAAAACCCAGAACAAACCTTTCTGTTCTCTTTTACTAATGAATTTCAATAAACTTTCTTACTGATGCAGACTATCCACGTTTGTTGGTATTTGTCTTTACTTTAGTTAGACGATAGTCTTAAGATTAAAGATGAAGGTTGATTTATCTAAAAATTCTGAAGACAGAATTACCGTCATGATGATTTTTCTGAGTCAGTTTTTTTAATCTTGTGGTTATTTTCAGATCACCGTCAGTAATCTCACTGAGTAAAAAAGTCCATGAGTCCCTAATCTTTCTCTTTTTTAAAGATACACAGTGTGTAGAAAGCTCTCAGCTCTCTGGCTTTAAACCATTTCAATCCTGGAAATTCTGAAATATTTCAACTAAGACCCTCAAAATAAAATTAATTAGAAATTTTATTTTTTCTTATGGTTTGACCTCTCACATTTGCCTGCCCTTATTTTCTTCCAACTAGTATAGTACTTCTTCCCAATAGCCGTATGGCTTGAGATATCTTCGAACACTCACCAACCCAGTAAAATCACATTACCCCCAACAAAGTTATTCGGTGTCCATCAGATGAACAGGAGAAGCGCTATCGAGACATGGTGATGCCATTGACCAAAGGGGCACCACTATGTCTCTGCCTTCCCCAACTCTGTCCAGTGATCAGTTCTAAAGACCTGGTACCTTCAGGGTCAGCCCAATGACATCCCTCAGCCAATAAGAACCCAACTGACATTACTTAGCACTCTGCTAGGACATCCTAAGGGAAGGAAAAGCTGGAGTGCCCCAAGACTACCTTGTGCTTACTGGTGAGTCCCTAGATTACCCATGCCCACCAAGTAGCAGTTTTCCTCGGTATTCTTGATTTTAGTCCAGTTTTCCCCAGGACCTGAGTCCTGATCCCCATTCCATTTGCTTGGCACTCTCTCTACTAGGTAGACCTTCCCCTATGGATCCTAGATTGATGACAGGAGCCCTATTTCAATGGGTTAGATTTTCCTGCAGTCAAGGTTCCATAACCTGCTTGGCACCAAAAAATTAGCACAGCCCAGAGGTGCTCCATTTTAGTTCACGTGCCTCATTATAGGTGGATATTTGTACCGGCCACCCTTCTTGGGGGCCAGTCTTCTAAGGTCCACTGTTGACATCTCAATGTAACATATAGTAAAACCCTTAAACAATGTAACATATAGTAAAACCCTTAAACAACCGTTGATGAGTAAGGACTCATCAACAGTTCCTACTGTGTATGTAGCTGCTGTTCAGAAACACCATCTTCTAAAATATTTATTATCTAATAAAATTAACCAAGCCCCTGGGACCTATTGTATTGCTCATAATCTGGGATGGCCATTCTCATTATTCTGAAGAAATACACATTTTCATGTTCAGTAATACTGATTTGACACAAAGAAGATATGTTACTATATGATAGCTGTGCTTGCTATTAAGCTTTGCCTCTTCTACCCATTCTGCCTTCCTTCCCACAGCCAGAATCTCAGCTAGTCAGAGTTCTTTATCTGGTTGGGTGATGACCCAAACCTTCATTCCTGAAGTCTGCATACATAATGGCCCTGGCTTTTTACTTCTTCATTCTTCCAATACCTCCTTAAACAATTATTTATATTAAATTATCTTTAATAAATAACTGCTTTTTTGACTAAACTCTGATAAGTATGGTTTAATAAACACAATCTGTTTAAACAACTTGATTGTAACAAGAACATTGGTATTTATGGAAAAAATTATAAAATTATAAAAAATTATTAAATAGTACAGGTCATAGATTTGTCATGTAGCTATTAAAAAATTCTGTATGCTTTCTTGTAGATCCTAAAGTCATTACAGAATCCTGCTGTTTAAGCAGTATAGCATCCAAATTAGACTGGCAGGGCCAATCTGGCACCCATGTGGAATCATACTACACTGCAGAAGCTTGTATCTCCAAAGGTGTCCTCTCATACCTAATAAAGACCTTAAAACTTTGCACCCTGGTCTTGGTGCTCATTGTGGCTTGATGTTTTGCTTGGGAGAGGAGAGTAGCTTTGACAGGGTCATCTTTATCAGGGAAGTAGCTCAATTAAGGTTAACTAGATGGGGTGCATCCAGGATTTCCCGTCTAGATTGTATCTTGAGAGCAAGAACAGGGAAACAGCTTATTTGTGGTTTTAAGCATACATTTTAAAGTCAGTGATCCCTGATTTCCTGTCCTGGCATTGGCATTTACAAATAATGTAACTTTTGTACAAGTTACTTCAACTCTTCTGAGTCTGAGTTTTCTTATCTATACAATTAGAATCTAACTACCACATGACACAGCTGTGGTTAAACCAAACCAATGCCTTTAAAGCCCTTGGGGGAAATTCCTATCATATAGTAGATTCGGAAGAAACAGTATTCTGTTCACCTTCAAAGAAACATGCCTATTAGCTAAATAATGCAGTTTCTTCAAAAATGAACGAGTGTCACTGGAAATTGGTAAAGTGGGTGGTCATTAACATCATCTGCCAAGAGGTGAGGAACAAGGTCATGTTGCTCTCCTAAGACTGAAAAACTAAATTCCAGACAGTGGGAACAATGGTGAGAGTGTGTCACAAAGGATTATGATTAACCTATTCCTGTGAACCTGAGATCCAATAAAATATAGTAAGAGATTTTTGAAAGTGCGTCAGATGATTGCCCTGAAGATTTGAGGCAGTGATCATCTCTAAAAGCTGCAGCTGTGGTCACCCCATGATGTAAGTCATCCAAGCTGTTCCTTGGGGTGATAAAGAGAAACACATTATCACCACAGAAATAAAACCAGTCTAGAAACCAGACATAAAGGGTATTTTTTTCAAACCAGGTTGTCCCACAGAAAGCCATGCTTTATTTTGAGAACATACTTTTCATGAGAAGTTATACCACTGCTCCTCAGTTTCTCTCCCCAGATTAAAAAAAAGCACTCTCCACACCCCAACATTGAGAAATAGATCTTTCCAGACTAAGACCAGTTAGAAAAGGAGGGAATCATCATGAATTCATATAAATATTGGACATTATCTCAGAAGAATTTGGGTAGTATTCTGAAAATAGTTTTGTCCTTCAGAATTTTAGCAAGGAAAAAAGTCACACACTAAAGCCTTAAGTAACCTTTCCTACCCCAGAATAAACTATCCTGGAAGAAATGCTTAAGAAAACATAAATACATGAGTTCAAAAGCTAGCTGAACCATGACCAAACTAATAATAACCTCAATGAAAGAAGAATCCTCAGTAAACGTTTTGACCTATACAATCTCTGTAAACTTTTGTAAATTATGAAATTTGGAGAAAAGAACAAAAAACAAAACATCTTGATGGATTGAACAACTGTTGTAAGGATGAAAACAAGAGGGATATTTGAGTATGGACTGCATAGGGTGTCTGAACTTTGATCCTACTTTCTATAAGTTCACCTAATTTTAGCTGTTCTATCAGTTTACCCAGCGTTCTCCTTTCTATATGGTGGTGAAACTGTAGATCTACATGTTGGTTACTAGAAAGATCACAAAATAATGTGGCACTTGTGTAAAAATTGCTGGTGGTAGTGGTGGTGACAATGAAAATAATGATAACAATAGTCTTTAAATCACACCAAGGGTTGTTCTAAGTAATTTAATGATGAATGAATGGGTAGATTAGATAGATGATACATAGGTTGGTAGATAGATAGATGATAGATAGATGATAGATAGATAGATAGATAGATAGATAGATAGATAGATAGATAAGCTCAGTATATAATGTGGATATGAACTCATTTAGTCTTAACAACCACCCTACGGTTTATTTCAACACAGAACCAGAGTTATCCTTTAAAAGTGTAACACTAATTCTATCACTCATAGGATCAAAAGTCATCAATGTCTCTCCATTAATATTCTTTAACAAGATATCCATGAGACTGACTTCCTTGCCTTCCTTATCTTCTTCAATCATTTGCACAATTGTCACCTTCTCTTTGAGATTCACCCTGTCACTCTGTTTAAATTTTTACCCCTATTCTTCTCAACTCCCCTATCACTCCACTTTTTCTTTTCACAGCCCTGTTTCTAGCCTACTATACAATTAGTTTGTCATTATTTATTATCTTTCCATATCAGAAAGTACATGCCAGAAAGATAAGGATCTTTGACTCCTTTATGTACTCTTGTATCCCAAGGCACTAGGACAGTGGCTGGTACAGGTTAAGTTCCAAAAATATATTTTACAAAGGAATGAACTCCATGACAAGACATACTATTAGTATGCACCCATTTTATAAATGAGAAAAGTGAAGCAGAGAATTTTAATTAACTAATCACTGAAACTAAGATTGCAAGAAATTATTACATATATGTGGACATTAGTATACAATAAAGGGATGATCTCAAAATAATGAGAAAGTAAGGTTTATTCAGTAAACTATAACCTGTTGAATCCCTAACAGCAAACATACAATAACCCAAATAAATGTTTTAAACATACTTGCAAGTAGTATAAGAAAACAGAAAAATATTTCATATAATCATCACATTTTTATCTTTTTATTTTGAAATAATTATAGACTCATGGGAAGTTTAAAAAAATAGTAGAGACCAGTGTACCCTTGACCTAGCTTCCCCAAATAGTGGCATCTTATATAGTTAGGATACAATATCTAAAATAAAAAATTGACATCAGTACCCTACTATTAAACTACAGACTATATTCAGATTTTATCATTTTTTAATCTGCATTCATGTGTGTGTCTGTGCAATTGTGCCCTATGTAAAGATGTGTGTAACCAACACCACAATTAGATACAAACTGTTCCATGACCACAAAATAATTCCTTTATGCTGCTTCTTTGTATCCATATCTATTCCTCTATACTTCCCTCCCAAGCCCTAGACCCTGATAACAACTAATCTGTTCTTCGTCTCAGTTGTTTTGTTGTTTGGAGGATGTTATACAAATGTAATCACATGCAACCTGAGCGTATTTGGGTACAAGTTTTTGTGTGAACATAAGTTTTCGTTTCTCTGGGATACACTTCCAAGAATATGATTGCTGGGTCATATGGTAGGTCATGCATAGTTTTGCAAG